CAGCCAGAGGACCCGTGGCCAGAGGACCCGTGGGAGGTGAGAGAACGCTTTCATCTTGTAGCTGGTGCTTTGACACACAGCTGCATACACGATGTCCCACTGTCACTCCCTGAGTTCCGGCAGGGCCTGGGCTTCTCGTCCACTGCTAAGGAGATGCATGGCACGGTTCCTTTCAGGATTGGAACACGCAGGACGGTTTTTGCCACTGGGCATATTGGATCCTTATTTTTAGCAGGACACTCGCACAAAAATGATCGTGATATTGTAATCAGTGCTTCCGTGGTCTCTAAAATTGCACATTTTGTTGCACTACTGGCTTGACCAGGTCTCAATCAGAGGCCAATCAGATCTATGGGGATGGGAAGAAATATTTGCGACTGCACCTCCAGCTCTGTGTCATGTCGTTGAGGCACCAGATCCAAACATGCAATCTTAATCCAAAACAGCTAGCTTGAATTGAGATCTCCTGTCCATCAGCCCATTCCATTGCACGCTTCAATGCCAGGAATGGTTCCTTCGCCCCAAGCTCCATGATGCTCAGCTCAAACTATGCGGTTCTTTCTCCACACCACACTTCTTACGATTCAGGCAGGATGATGATTGTTTCGTGTCGTCATGAACAAATGCGAGGCACTGGATCACATGTTGTCTTGCATCTACCGCCGGAGATCCTTACCTTGAAGTGTGTCATTAATTGCTCTTCAAAAAACAGCTCTGCAACTATTAGGGGATCGCTGCGCTCGCGCTCTGTTTCCCCATCTGTCCTGCTGAGGATGCAACGTGAGAATGCATCATGGATTTGTTGCTGAGGATGGAATGGCTTGGCTGAAACGACCCTTGTCCCAAACAAAGTTGTTTAGCTCCAAGAAATACACCGCTGAATGTGAAAACTGGTCAGTGTTCATGATGAAAGGAACTATTGATCCCTTAGATGTTGAATATTCTGTTGAGTTTTCTTTGCTGAGGGTCTTGGATAAATACATTGAGAACATCCTCCAGCAAACGAGCCCGTGCTGTTCTTCGCTGTAGCAAGCTGAGGCCAGCTTGAACGATTCCATGAAGTGTTTTTGTTCACATCGATCGATCGATATATCCACGCTGTATTGATCTGTTGTATACATTGTAGCCGAGCCAGGATTTGGACGTCGCACTTGAAGATCAAGAAGTCACTTTGGCTGCATTTAACATTTCCTGGCATGCAGCCATCGTCAGCCATCAACACCTTCCCATGATGTGTGATCTCCTGAGGTTTAACTTGGAAGTGGTGTGCGTGGGGTCTGGGGGGGGGGTCCTTGCGAACAAAGACTCTTATATTAACGGCTTTTGTTTCAAATGCTGTTGGCGGAGTAGGGTATAAATTGGCCACCGTCCGCGATCTCATGCCTTTTCCCCGGGGTCGGCGGCAGGGGGCGGAGCCCTTACAATATAAGTCTTTAAGTAATAAATATAGCAAAGATTAGCAAAGCCAAAGCATAGATGAGGCAGCATATTGCAGCGTCAACATTATACTTGTGTAGGCTGTATTCATCTGTCTGTCAGGCAGTGACCTATCGCTGTCCAATGTATGACATCGTCTTTTGGCAGTTGTTACCCAAGGAAATCCTACAACAGGCAACGTCGATGAAACGTCCCTGGCACTAACAGCTCTGATATGCTCTGATGACCTAAAGTCTTACTTCAAACAGAATCATGAATAGCGATGGCCTCCAACCTACTAGCGATGGCCTCCACCCTAATGGATTTGCTGTGCTACTTCAAGCATCTGGGAGCGAGCGACCACCTCGTTTGACCAGCTCAACATCTGGGCCACCGCACCAGGTATCAATAACCCACCTTGGTTACGGCAAAAAGCGGCCGCACTCTGCTGGTGGTTGCAGGTGCTTCAACTATGTTTGCTTACATGTTCTGGGAATCTGACGGGGATTTTGGGGGAAGTCAATGACCTCTCTGCAAAATGGGTATACACCCAAAAAGGACTAGATAGGTCACAAAAAAGGAAAAGGCCGCACCTCCAGCCATCTCCTCAAAGTCAACTTAAGAAATAATTCATCTCCCAAATGCTTCATCCCTCTCATCATATCTTTCCTTGACAATTTGACGCTTGTTTTGCCAAGGCGCCAGGTCTCTCACGCCCAGCCACTCTTTCGGTGCATCGAAGTCGTGTGGGAACTGGCGGCCGTCGACGCGTCCCGTCTGGTTCGGCCGCTGGTTTCTGGGGCGAAGACCGGTGGAGTGTTCCGGAGGGAACAAGCGTTGTGAGAGGGAAACAAGGAGATTTAAGGTGATCTTAAATGATCTAAGTGGATATCAGGTAGAATGAGCATGAATGAGCCATGCAAAGTGGCATCTTTGTCTTTGGGTTGTGTGTTGTGGAATCTCGGCGAGCTGCATCACTAGCCTTCCCGCTTGGAGGGGTCTGGTTCTAAATGGGTCCCAGATAATCCAGAGCAGTCTTGTAACTGTGGGGGGCATCATGATTGAATCTTAGGACAAAACTTCAATACATGGTGGAGCCTCTGCAAAACCCACGCCCATCGCGACCCCGGCCTCCATGAACTTCAGCAAAGCAGTGCTGGGGCCATCATCCGGCGCTAACCGGCTCTTGATTTCCATCCTTAGGGCTGTGTCTGTGCCACTCTGTGCAAAAGGATTGCATAGAGGTCTCAGCGTTTCAGATGTTTCGCTGGACCGCCTCAGATCCCGGCAGCATCCGCCTGGCTACCTGCCATTCTCCTTGAGAATAGTTCTGGTAGCCCATGTTGAAGAGCTGGAAGAATTCCACCTCAACACACATGCTGCCAACAGCTTACACAACAGCTTCTACAACAGCTTCTGGCAAAGTCCACCCATGTATAATGCGTCAGTTGAACAATTACTCAGTGAGTTTGGCAAGTGGAAAGTATGCAGAGTATGCACGACAAAAGCAAAGCTGGCAAGTTGATGGGACGAGATTCAGACCATGGGAAAAATTCTACCAAGATTGCATAAGATCGCAATGAAGCTGAGTGAGGCACCGTAAATGCTTCACGCATTTGCGCAATGACCTTATTTGACAATGTCAAGTTTGTGCAGCTTCCTGGAAGCTCAGTGACAAATGTCACCACAAAAGGAATGGTTACTATGGCCTTTGCCTGAAATCTGTTATCCTCGGTCCTTGAGAAGGTCACCACACACTAAGTGGATTACTCTGCCTAGGTCTAAGTCACCCTGGTACAAAATGACCTCGGCCTTTCCACGACAGGACTGCCGATGCTGCCGTTGCTTCAAGCGCACCCACGTCGATCAATCCTCGAGGTGCCCACTTCGTCGGTCGCAAAGACCTCCGAGAGGTCCTCGATCCACGAGGACGGGACGCGGCCCAAGGAGCCGGGATGGTCTTTGGCCACCAAAAGAAAGAGTTCAAAAGTTCCTCCTTGGTGACGAAACATGAGATTCGGTGCTGCCTGTTTTGTTGAAATACATGCATGGCTTGTGTGATAGGTACTCCGACTCCCTACCAAGAGAAAGTCCAATCCTGATAATCCTGAAGCTGACCTAAACCAAAATCACAATGCTTTGAACAGGCAAATGCGGGTCAGTAATTCCAGGCGGGCGGCCAAAGGCATCGCACACTTTGAGACTTTTAGGCACTCTGGTAGTGGAAGGTTTATCATCCAATGGCTTTTGCCAGCGCGATGCCTCTTATTCTGTCTGACTTCTCCTTTTTGGACCACCAAATTGATTTGTCCGTCCTTCTGGAGCACCGCGTTCTTCTCCTGCTCCATCCACTGCCGCACCTGGAGTCCGTTGAGACGAAGACGACAGAAGTCCCAGAGCTCCCATGGCGCTGATCGCAGCGCAAGACGGTGCACTCTCACAAGTTGGCACAAGTAGGGTGACAGTACTACCATTAGGTGTTATAGTAGTACAGTACTACTAATATTCACTTGCCGCAGTAACTCAGTAATTAGTCACTTTGAGTTTCACTATAACAACTGCTTTGAATTTCACTGCGGCTGTTGAAATGCAAGTGGCTTATCACCTGGCGCATCATCTGGCCTTGAAGCGCTGCCTGGTGTTCCACGGCACCTGCGTGAAGAACGCACGTTTGGTCAAACACAATCTGTTTCGAAGCTCCATCATCTCATGATCATCCAAGTGCAGTGGTTCAGGATGCCCAGTCGCGTTTTCGGTTGTGCAGCCTGATTGGCTGATATCTACAGTATCTACTCCTACCCGATGGCTTAGTGGATTCGCCAGCTGCAACCGGTGCCTTTGGACGAGCTGTAAGGTCAACCTCTAGACCTCAGGTGTCACGAAGCACTGGTCAAATAATATCAAATAATACAAAAAAAGGAAGAAAGTGAGAGTTGACATGAATTGTACTACAGTAAGTACATCTAGTACTAAGTACTACTACTGGTAATGAAGCTTGCTCTCATGCACAACTGCACCTTTGTTCTCTGAGATCCATTGGAATGCGGTGATATGTGTGTGTGTGTGTGTCTCTGCTATCTTGTTTTCATGATATTTCAGCATTCAGATTCAGAGGACTAGCCACTGAGGATATACCATAGATCCCCAGCTGACCTGCCCCACCCTGCCAACTTTCAGTGCCAAGCTCTTGTAATCCAGGTCCACACAGTAAAGCTCCATTGGAGCAGGTGAACCTGCGATCGACTCGCAAGTCAACGAGTCGAGTCGATCAGGGGCTTGTCACAGCATGAGTTCAAGCGCAGGCAGCGTGAGCAGTTGTCTGGTGCTCAAAGTGATTTACAACTCTGGCATACTCTCTCCATACTATAGTCATATCATGTAGTATGTCTATATGCATACCGGACAAAGATCGTGGAAGGCGCACAGCATCCCCATCACGTCGCCTCTTATTATGACCCGGTCAATCAGCCGGCATTGACACCTGAGTGATTCTACAAAGCCGGTGATGCAACAAGGCATAGGTGAGAGAGAGAGAGAGACAGAGCAAATGAATTGATCAAAAGAAACAATTGGTCTGAAAAGGATGGTCTAATGGAACATGTTTCAAAAAAGCCCCAAAATCAACTTGAAACGCAGCGTTTCACACTCAGCTTGCTGGCCGCATGTTGTAGGAGACCAAGTCAATGACCTCAATCGACGGGCGAAGGGTGGTGGTGTTTGTCCCTTGCAATGCAGGTCCTTGCGCAGCACTGGACATGTAAGTCGGCGTTTTAAGTCCATGTCCATGTTCTCTCCAAATGGCTCTGATCCTGGAGCCAGGAGTCCATCATTTGGAGACACCCCGATCCAGGATGGACCCAGCCGAAAAATCGAAGAGAATCGCGTACAATGTTCGCTTCCAGCCAGCAAAGTCCCCCTAATAGGAGCTAGAAAAGGAGCACTATGTCTCTCCTGCCCAAACTACTGCAGCTGGAGAGTCCAAACCGAACAGGATGGGAACAGCCGTTTCGTGGAACACTGCTGAGACCAGCTGAAACGCTGAATCTCTCTTGAACACACTGTTCTAAAAATGCTCATTGCCCCGGCAGCTAACAGGGACAAAGGTCTGAGCGCCCACACTGACTGTGCTACTATCACTGATACATTGTAGACTTCCTGGCAGCTGTTTAGCCATCTCCCTGAATCACTTGCCATAGCTAGAGTGCACATGTCAAGGAGGGCGTCTCATATTGTCCTCACAGCAGTTCCTCCAATAAATATGTTGCAAGAATGACTACTGCAAATTATTCCCTTCAGGACGAATCAGCACCTTTCTGTCACAGGGTCTGACACTTGCAAACTACAAACATGACATAGTTAAATATCCAGCAAAAGGACGATCTGATAAAACAAAAACAAAAGTAGAAATGGCTAACTGGCTAACTCATCATTTTCTGTCTTAAGCAAAGCATGCCATCTTCGGGCCGTCGATCGCTCGATGGACGTCGCAATGGAGACGTTTGGCGACAGGTAGGAGCAGTCAATTTTGAACTCACTCCCAACCTCGGGCGAAACTCCAAACAGAAACTCTCTCAGAAAGATGAAATAAGTCACAAGGAAGCAAGCCAAAGAGATCAAAAGTCACACAGTCAAGCATGTGCTTGCTTAATTCAGATGCCTTCATACCATTAAAAAATCCCGATCGAAGCCATTCAGTTGCTCTCACTTCTCAGGAGCCCAAGACACTGAAGTCGATGGTTTCTAAGGGCCGAAGACGGACTTTGAGGGAGTAACTACTGAACGTCAAAGCTGTTTCAACTTCCAGCCTGGATTGGGAACGTGTCAGTTTCCATCTTCAAAGCTCTACATCAAGACGCACATGCAGAATATAAGGCAAGACCCTGATTCCGTAGGTAGCGTATGGTTCCGTGGGCACCTATGTATTCCAAAAGCAGACTCCTGCTTCTTTCTCTTTGTTCTTGTACTTGTGTTGTTGCCGACAAACCTCATGTGACTCAAGTCCTTCCTGCCCTTATTCCCACATTGATTGACGAATGCCGGAATCTGCCCTGACCTGCGCACACCGGTTTGCCTGAACCCACATCTTTGTTTCTTCTTTGTTTGCCAGAGTGTTGTGTAGGCATTCGGAACGAAAGCTTCACAGAAGCTGAAGTTCCAGGGTTGGGAGACTGAGCGTCCCAACTGCACCCTCAATGGCCCATCCTTTGTGAAGACCAATACTGAGGTGCACCCTGCAGTTGGAACCTGCATCGCCAGGGGGATGCCTTTGAGAATTAGTATGGGTGCCTGGGCTACGGCTATGGCCAAGGATGGTTTGATTAGTTCCCTGATGTTCCCTGTATTTGGACATGAACCTGGACACAATCTCATATCTCAACACCTCAAAAACAAAGTAACCCTGACCCTGCTGCCTAGTCGATACTGAAGCCCCGGATGCTCTCTGTAGCTTCCCAGCAATGGCCTGAGTCAGTCGATGTTTTTGTTCGGCTCAACTTCTTCGGCCCGAAACAGAACACACCAAGACCCCAGAATCGACAAACCAAGACTTCCCATGTTCGGACAGTCAATATCAGAAGAAAGGCAAATTGGAAGGTACGGGTTACTTCAATCTGGCCCCCACGCCCCCAGGCCCTTGCCTTCTTATTAGTTCCGGTCTTTGTGTCTTCCTTTTTTCTACACGGAAATGAGATGAAACGACCGTCGTTCGGAGGACACTGAGGAAACGCCAGATCAGGACTCCCGACGAGCGGTGCACGGCACCAATCACCGCAGCTGATGAAACGATGGAGCCTGGCGATGGGGCACGTCATGTAGGGAGTCGAAATGGCTTCCAATCGAGTCTTTCACACAAGCGGCACCATGCCACCTGGGCACCTGCTAGCACTGTTGGCCTCTTAGAAGCAGAAAGAAGACTTGGCAGCAATCTTCATCGAAGGAGATCCGAGCGTCGTGGGAGCCGTGGGTCTCGAATGTCCCGAAGCTTGCTTTGTGCGGAACTCTGCAGGTTTTGGAGCCGGACTGTGTCGAATCTTGACCCTCATGTGAGTTCCAAGAAATCCTGAACTCAGGGAACTGAGTCCATCAAGAAGGCCGTGGGACTTACCATTTTCAAGGTCATGTATAGGTCTGAAGTAAACAGAACAAAGTGATAAAAGGACCCTACACATGTTTGTCCTTCGACCAGCTGGGGCCTACAAATGTTTATATATAGAATTATATAGACATCATGTTTGAGCCATGGCCATGGCCCAACAAAGGAAGAGCTGGATGAGATGCTCAGATCCCTGAGATCCGCCATGCTCGAAACCAGAGGATCCGCCTTCGGCAAACTTGGCCATGAGCTCAGCGCTTTCCAGTCCTGACGGATGAACCCTCCGGTCCGCTTCGGTCGGTGGTTGATATGGCTCGCCATGGCTCCGGTCGCCATGGTGGATTTGGAGTTCACACAGGTGTGTGCATTATTGTTGACCGGATATGTCCTCTGGATAATATGTCCAAACACGCTAAAGGGGCTTGCGCACACCATTGGCGTATGATTGTCGGGTGACGTCACTGATGTGTCTGTTTAAGTCACTTGCTTGTTTGAGTCTGTACTCAAAGCCACTGAACATCTCCTGAGTCTTCGCTTTCTTTCCAGATCACCAAGAAGGTTTCACCGGTGTTCTTGTTTGGTGCCTCACATCACAAATGAGATCCAACCGTGAGAAGCCATGCAGCCTTGCTCTGACAGTTTAGATGACCATCCTTTTCCTGCTGGCCTTCAAGCTGGATGGAAGTTGATTCTGGATTGGGGTACTGATATATACCACAAACACAGCTGAACATGCTGGTGGTGTCTCCTTCCGAACATTTGTGAATTGCAGCTCTCTTAACTTATGCTTATCGTCGCGACCCCTTAGCGCAGCACTCCATGAAATTCGTTGCATACGCCATGAACCTCAAAACAGTTGGCCAGCAACTTGCTGGACACTTCCGCAGCTTCTCCTTTTCACACTTGCTTCCGGCAAAAAATTGAACGAGAACTTGAAACAGCTAAACTGGTTTGCGGAGAACTTGCACAGCAGGAACTTGCAGCATGCTTGTCCTCTCTTCTTCCTTCAGCAGGTACAAACTCTATACTAACATCTGCAGACTCGCCCGTTTCTGCTCTGGGTGCCAAACAATTTCTGCAATCTGGTTGGAGAACATCATCACTTTCGACTGCAGAACCTATCAGACCCGCGCAGAACCGGTTTCACTCGCTCATGGCCTTCGGACGCGGTGACCGGCACCGGCCTCCGTGGCCGTGCTGAAGTCACGCACCCGCATGACGCCCACAATGCACCTGAGAAGCGCGGTGGTTCAGGAAAGCTTTGGCTGTTGGCGTGAACATCCATGAAGTGTCCATTTCCTCAGGCGCCGGCTCACACTTTCGCCCCGGCACCATGGCATTGACGCCCGCGGAATCGGAGCCGCTCATGTTTTTGCCTGAGCCGCTCAGCGGGATTAACGCCAAGAGCAGCGGCTTGAAATGAAGCGCAGCTGAAAGCCAAATGACATACCAGAAAGCCAAATCTATGAAGTTATAGACTTCTTCTTCCCAAGACTTTGGTCAGTGAATTGCACTGCTATGCGGTGCGAGAGGGTCGAGAATCTTCCAACTTTTATGTTCCTCTCCTTTTCAACATTAACAGAACAATAAATGTAGAACACGTCGAACCCACGTCATCTAGGGGCCCTGCCGATGATGTCTGCCCCAGCTTCCCCAAAGCCAAGAGCCAGCAACGACCCGAGCCTTGCCACCCGAAACCCTGTGGGGGTGGGTATCGCATCCGTGTGAAAAGAAATGGCTTGAGATATATTGAGGAAATATCTTGCATGGGGGCTTTTTGCTTTTGCCAGAAATCGTGTCGGCAGTTCTTTGGGCGTTCATTGGCTTTCAAGTGTTCATGACCTGCTCAGATCTTTAGCTCTTTGTCGGCTCCCTGGACAAACAGAGTCCTTCGAACAGTTCAAGTTGTATCTTCTGACTGCAATAAATAAAGCTCTTGAATCACTACGAGTCACATTCACCCACAAGAACCTAGCCTCCCCAACATGCCAAAGGGTGGGGTGGTAATGGTTTTTCTGGCAAAGGGCATAATGTCGGCAACAAACTGAGTAATTATGGCTTTTCAAGAAACCAAGAAACCTCTTGTCAACTTCAATATCTTCAGCCCTGGGCCACATGAGACATGGGCAGGGGGGGCCATTCTTCAATTTGCTGGGGATGCCACTTAATGATGGTCTTCTCCAAAATCACCGTCTCCATCACCTCGTTGCGCCCCTGGAAAGCACATAGTCTCGAGATCTCCTGCAGAATGCATCCGTCTAAAGGCGCACGACCCTGGCGTCTCACAGCAGGGTATTGGCCACCCAGCTCGATTATGTAATACACAGTACTTCTTTTGATTGCCCAGAAATTGCTCTACTAAGTGAAGCATCCAGCATCCAGTATTGTGCCACCAACTGGTGGGCCGGTGGGTGAACCAGTCCAACAATCAGAACGTAACCGGAAGAACGATGTTCGAAGGGATCAGCAGCTAGTTGCTCTTTTCTATCGAAAGAACATTTGGGTCTTTGATCCAACACTCAAGCATCTTAATCTTAGTCTACATCATGCAACCCATTAACTAACAAACTCCATGTATGGCATGTTTACCTCTATATATTGGGGTGGTTTCAGGTAGCCATACATTTCATACACGTCGTAGTGGAAGGTTTGGACTCTGTGCAGTCCGTGTCCGCTCATGTCCGCCTCCAGGTGCTCTGGTAGCACAACCTTCGCGTCCGCCGGTCCGTCCCCCCGCTCCATCATGACGCGGTTCCAAGGCTTTTGCTTCTGCCGCTGCAAGCGTTCCTGCAGATAGACTTGTGTCGTTCCGGGGTCCCAGGAGAACGACGAAGACGGAAAAGCGAAGACGCGGGATAGACTTGTGGTGATAACGACGACGATGCTGACGATGATGCCCATGATCCTATCGTCATAAGGTAATAGGAGTTTTTGCTGGAAAACACGAAAGCGGGGTGCGAGGAGGGTTTTAAAGCGTGCTTTGATGTGCTTTGGCTTTTTGACAGTTCTTGAAATCCCATGGCAAGCGCCTTGGCAATCTCCTCTGCCTTGAACTCATCATCGGCCTCAGATGCCGACTTGGAGGCCCGTGACGAAATCATCGTTTGAAACAACATGAAACAAAAACATGTGCGTTCTGCTGAACATCATGGCAAGCATGAGGGACCTCAACAAATCATGTGTGTTTCCTCTACTTGGAAAAATGCGTGCTTAATCAAAACCAAAGAGTGTACAAAGCCACTCCCTTTGACTTAATCTATGCAATTATTCTTTGGACATGCAGGAAGTCTGACTGTGAAAGTGGTCCCTCCCCCAGGCTCGCAAACCATCTTCATCGCTAGGAGCGGCTTGTCCCGAATCGCCTCCACCATACAACCAGCTTTGCAACCAGCCATCACATGACTAGCGAAGCATGAGGAATCTCTTGGCGAAACATGTGGAAATATGCGGGATCTCAAGACCGCCATCAATGCGGCACCCGTTGACGTCTTCCCCAAACTCGGGCCTCAATCCTCCCAATCATCTTCTCCACCTTGGCGGGTCACGGCTGCTGCTTTCGTGTGGCCATGGGGAAAAAGGACATAACATATCTTCAACAAAATGCGCAGAGAACACATTTCATCTCCTCTTTCTGCAACTCCTGGATGAATGAGCAGTGCTTCCATGACATGTTCCTACACCTCAAACAACAATTGAGATCAATTTCATTGACTCAAATGACTCAAATGTTTCTGTGTGAGGTTGAAAAGTTCTGTTTAGAGTCCTCCCATCCCTTCCCAAACACCTCCTTCACTGCCTTCAGACGAGGGAGGCTACCTCCCTCGACCTCCCGCCCTCGGGATCCCTGACGGGTCGGAGCACCAAACGATTGGCATCGTTGGTGAACATCAGCGAGGCCGTGACCAGGAGGATCATCACAAAAACCGTGTTGCTGAGTCCGAACCTGGGCTGGTAGTGACTCTACGAGTACCTGGTAGTGACTACTTGGGATAGTGAATGTGATGTAATGTGATGTAGTGCCACACAGCTGCGAGTTGATGCGAGTTGTAGGATTGTCCAGCAAGGGCTATCTACTTTGAACCTTTTTTTGATCGGTGAATAAAGCCGTTGCCAGCACTATAAAGTTTGGTTATGCTTTGGCTTTAACACATCTGCGGTTCCAGCTGTGCTTTTGAAAAGTGGCATTGGTTCGCCCTTGCTTCTGGCATTTGGTGCATGTCCACCCTTCACCAGAAACAAATGCCAGCTCTTCCCAACTCCTGCGTGGTCAGTTCTTCCCACACACTGAGGCATCGAGCAGTGCGGTGGTTCGGTTAAAAGGGCGCATGTCAAAGTAGAAGACCAAGTAGAATTCTTGGCCTTGTGACATCGAGCGAAACCCATCAATTCCCTTGGATCTGACCCTCTTCTGCTTGATGGAGAATGGAAATCCATGCTGAAACACCAGCTGAAAAAAGAATGGTGCGGAGCAAATGTTCCATTGATGTTCTAAACAGCTTGTGGATGCCTGCAGTCCTTGGGCCGAAGTCCAGCTGTTGCCGTTGTTCCCTCTCTTTCACAGACCCCCAAGGCTTCATGTTTGGCATTTGAAGCCAATTCGCGAAAGCGAGTTCTCTTAGAAACTTCATGCAATATTGCAATATTTTAGAGAAAGCCAACACGAAATGCTCCTCCAAAGGATATGATTTGCACAAATTACACACGTAAAACAGTGTGAAACAGTCATATTTGCCGCCAAACCCCATCAAATCGCCACGTGAGCGTGGCATTCTTTATCCAGTCTGCTGAGGTCTCCCACTAGCTGTCATCAGTTTTGGAAAAAAGGCCTGGCAGCCAGTCTGTTTGGTTCTGTCCACTGAAAACATGCACGTTCCTCAGAGCACCAGCAACAGCTGTGGGCGTTCCCTGACACTTTGGGAGGAAACACCTGCGAACATTGGCATGTTTGGCGGCCAAAACAAACCATGTTCGACCTGGTATGAGAAACAAAACCACTGGTCTTTGGAAGTTAAAGGATCTTATGGAATCATACCCCAACTGATCAGCTGGGTATTCAGAACTCAAAAAATGACAGTCCCCAAGATCCAAGACTTTAAGGTAAAGAGTAATTAAAGTTTTGTTGTTGAGGCTCTCATGGGTATTCATGGTCTTTCTACCTCTGAATGATCGACCCCTGTCCGCCCTGTCCGGTGTCGATGGTCGCCTGGATCTCCGTCAGCCGCAGGTCCAAGGGGCAAAGGACCTGGCGTCGAACCCCCGCGGCGGGTCCAACTCGCGCAGCGGAGTCGCAGTCTAAGCCGATCAGTTCGTGACATCGCAAGCGCAGTGAAGCACGCAATGTGCTTGTTGGTCTTGATTCTTGATCATTTCACCTTGTAGTAGTTGGAATTCTCCACTTCCAAGGCGATTAGAGATACGCCGACCAGGTCCTCAGACAATGTTCTGATGCATATTTGAGCATTTTGCAAGTTTTTGAGTCTAATCAAGTTTGTTCAAATTTTATGCCCTTACCCTTACTCAAACTGGAGGTTCGTTTCTGAACACATCTGCTCACAGCTATGACCCAGGCTTGAGACGAAGTCGCGCACTGCCTTGACCATGGTTCTGAAAGCGTGGCCTGGTTTGTTGCAGTTGGAAATGCAGGGTTTTCACGGTCTCTCAGAAATGATCAGAACTGGTCAAGTAAAGGCAGGAAGTGACGCGCAGTCTGAGCCTTGACGGACGAGGGCATTGTACCGTAGGCTGTCAAGTAGTCCTGGCATCCGACCGTCTACAATGTTACAAGCGTCCTCACCGGAGTTTTTGTGTCCGGAATCTTCGGGAATCTTCGTCCGCCAGAAACAGAACTTGCGGAACTCTGAAAATCCGAAGTTTCACTTCTTGATGCCAGGCCAAGTATGTACTTTCATCAACAAGTGGAAGACCCCATCTATAAAAGGATATTTATTACTCTACAACTGTTGTTGAGGATAGGAACCCCCCAGACTCACCCGCCACAAGTATGGGGAAGCCTCCATCACCAAAACTACACCTCAAACGTGAATAGGGCAAAACTGAAGTGTGCCAATGGCTATATAATAGTTATAACGATGTGCTCTGCAACAACAACAGATCCACAACATGGGCCAAGGTGCAACCTCCACTCTCCGGTCGGGATGTAAAACTCATCCAACGGCCCTAAACATGAAGCTGTGCCTACGAAGAAGCGACTGATGTTATCTTCTTCGGCTGTTACTGAAGGTTTGTTCAAACACGGTCTGGGATGGTCTGGGTGCGTTCAACCGAAGACTCGGTGGCACTGTATGCCGCCGAAGTCAATGTGTGGGAAGTCCGTCAAATCTCAAATGCCAACATGCCGGACCTATCGATGGGTACAAATCAATGACCAGCGTCGGTGGTCCTTTTTGGCAGAATAACCGAAGGTTGGTGGTCCCTTGTGACGGTCAACAAAGAAGTTCTTGCACTGCATTTCTGGAGTGCATTTCATATGAAAACTGGCATCCGCACTAAGTCACTAAGTACACTACACCTGAACGTGGTGTCCGAATTCTGATGTCTTGTGACATTCTCGAGCTTTGAAAGGCCCCAGCCGGACCTCTCTGATGGATCCATACCATTGATCCACGACGCCCGAGTCCATCTGCGCGTACTGGCACAAGTGAACCGCTCGATCCGAAATCGTTTGACTAGAGGAGCAACGAGAAAACTTTTGCACATATTCCATGCAGCATGCTGGTCAAAAGTGGGGTCAAGTGTGCCCAAATACTTTTGCACAGCTTCGGCTTCCACCTGCCCTCTTTGCAGATCCACACATGCCAAGCTATATACAGTACATTGTAGACTGGCTTGATAGCGTTTCAATCCCTACTTGAAAGTTGTGGGAAGCTACCAACGCTACCTCCAATTCACACATGATTGTAGAATCTTGCTTTCCCAAATATCTCCTCCAAGCTGTTAGTGAAGCCAGTACTGCTGCTTTGACCTGGCGAAGCAAGGATTGAAGAAAAACAATTGGTCACTGGCGAGTACACTATGCATATTCCATAATCTTCCTGTTCGAGCTTTTCAAGGAACGTTTGCTTTGCATGGGCCATTGTGATGCCAAGTAGATCAGGTTTCAATTGGCCGCGCAAACGTTTCGCCCATCAACTCCCCCAAGCTGGCTCGGACATTGTGACCATTCCGCTAGAATCAGCTAACGGGAGGAAAGCAAACGAGGCGACTCTTCACCTGCCAGGCCGAACCAAAACAGGGATCCTGAGCGCAGGCCAATCGAAACGGCTCAATTTAGAACATAACATAATGGAAAAAACATGGCATGTTCCAGGTCGGCGCTGACATCGAGAAGAAGTCAAAGGAAAATCTTAGGTCTCAAGAAGCCTTCAGCTTGCAAGCCTGAACTTCGTAACATCTCTATATATAATGCTAGCCAGCTCTCATGATGCCTCATGGCCTCAGCCCTTTCAAGTGAAGCAAAGGCTTTGACGTCTTCGTTTCGGCGTTTCGGCGCGTCCTAAAAACATGCCGGCGCAGTTGTTGTTGGGACAGTAGATGCCCTCGGCATCCAGGAGTCTCTCGCTGGTCGAAGAAAAGCCGTCGCGCGTTTCAGATTGACGTCTGAATCTGATGTCACATCAGAAGCACACGAGCGCACGCCAAGCCATCGCAAAGCTTGAAGCAAGCTGTACTAAGTCTCAGTCCTGGCTGTTGCCCACATACCAGCTGTGGTAGTAGATGTATTGCATGAGGGCCTCGAGACCAAAGTGGACCAGGGTGCCTTGAAAAATGCAAGCCATCTTCTGCAAAATGTCTCTCGAGCCCTACCACCTTCTGCTAAGGTCAACACGCTGGCATACCTTTGGCTGGTGGCTCGGGAAGGACAAGACGAGATTCAAGGTTAAATAGGATTGTACATCTTTGCAAGTTTTAATTCCCTTGGATCTAGCTAATGCAATACAACCTCGAGACACAATAGCTGCCCTGACCCTACTCGTTCTTTCTTGCACCACAGGCACTGCTGTCCGTTGGCCGTGCTATTGTTGCTGGTCTTGGCCTGAAAAGCCTCACACGCCACGTCCACGTCCACGGTCCGATCGGGTCCAATCGGGTCATCGGAAGAAAGTGATGGACGAGCATCTTTTGGAAGGGCAGTCGTCTCTCGACTTTCTGATCTTTCGGACAAAAAAAATTGTCAGCCATCCCAATCAAGGCAACTGCAGGGGTCCAGCCTCCCACACCTGATTTGCACCATAGCCAGCTGAGTAAGGTGTTTGATCAGCCTGGCACCCAGCACGTCAGACTGGACAGAAATATGCTTTTGGCGCTTGGCCCAATGGCTAGTGAACTGATGTAGGGATGAATCGTGGCCTTTCTCGTTGAATGGGAAATGTAGACATATGTAGACTATCTGATGAACTGAGGACAAACCCAAATGGTGCGGAAATGACCTCTTGGCTTGGCATGCATCGATTCGACACCCGTCGCTGCGTCAAGACTGAAGCATGCAAAATCGTCCAACACCCTTCTCCACAGACTTGCCAGCCGCACCGTTTCTTTGGAGAGTAAAGGCAAGATGAGAAGCATCGCTAAGATCAGACCTCAGCTACGGCTTGGAAAGCACCAGTGCGATTGACTCCTTTGTCGTGTGAGAAGCTTCTTGCATATCCAACACTCTCCAAATATGTTTCCATACCTGCGCATGTTGGGCGTGAACCTTGCATGCTATTCATCGCCTTTTCACCCCTGGGCATTCCAGCAGATGACCCGCCGCGTGGTCATCTCCGAGAGCTTCTTGCCCACGCGACCTCGGGTTTGCCGAGGACCCGAGGTGACCCGAGATGACCCGGGTCGAAACGGAAGTTCCATACCCAGAACATGCCAGAAATATCGAGTAGGTGTAGGTTGTGATGGCGATGCCTTCATGTGGGGCTCTTTTGGGAACTGAATTCAACATGACTACATGACTGACTCACAGCACAAAGAAATACAAAGAACACAAACAACCGTTGTTTAGCCCTTATATGCGTTCGTCGCTCTGGAGCTGGCGGAAACCGCATGGCTTTCCATCCGTCGAGCTCCGCACTTTCGCTATCTCTTACTTGCCCCTTCTCTAGTGCTTCATAATCTGCTTCATCCCAAAGATCCTGACGTTGAGGTCGATCAACATAGAATTCCCAAAATCCCAAAAGAATGAACACAAATAAGCCAGCCTGGCAGGTTCATCTTCTCACCACACCAACAAAATGTTCAGAGGCATTCAAAATAAAGGAAAGACAACGGAGAAAGCGGACCACCACAACAATTCAGCGTTTGGGCGGCACTGTGGCACTGCTCAAGGCCTCCGCTTCTCCCATCTTCTTTCTTCTTTCTCTTTCGGCTTTTCGCTGCTTTGCCTGAAACCGAGATTCAACGGTGGAACCAACTGTGCCGTGCCTTGAGCACGCGAAAGTACTGATGGCACCGGGGGGCTCACTGTGGGATACCTTGAGGCGCCCCGGGCAAAAGAGTTGATCAATCTAATTCACCCATGACTGACGATGTCTGTTCCTCTAGGCACAGCCGAAAGTATGTTGCCTTTGCACGGGGCAAAGAGAAAGCCACTTTTATTGCTCAGCCATCCATGCGTTCATGATTCAGAATGGAAATGGATGTTTCGCATTGATTGGAGGGTAAGCCATTTCGATCAGGGCCGGCTCAACAATGATTTACTTGTTCAACATGGTGGGGGGTCCTTGACCCCTATTTATAGTTATACAGCATTTGTGCCAACCCCTCACATGTATATGATCTATATGTATATATATATAAATTGAAGCACATAAACACTTCAGGTTTCTATGAAATGAGATGTCCATCCTACGTTTGATAGCTGTACATCTAAATATATAGAGACACAGAACTTTCATGGCATCCAGAAGTATCTAAGAGCAAACTATCTAAATGATAAGCACCGTCAAGCATCCTTTTCTTGCGCAGTCACGCCACATGCCAAGTCTGGCTAAAGACAGCAGAACGATCATAAGACAATCTGCACAAAAAATAACATCTTGTTGCATCGGCAGCAAACGATGCATTGTATACATTTGTATACAATTTATATAATGCATCGTCATCAATTTATGCTGGAAGCGGAATTCATTGAGGCAACCCTTGCAAGAATATTGAAAACGCTTGAAGCATGTTAAAGGTAAAAGCAACAATGAAATAGTAGCATGCTTATTACCCATGTTCAAGGGGGTGGAATTGTCGTTTTGCAAGAACTGGAATCCTGGGAAATCTTCACAAAGCATGTAATATACTGTAAGTATTTTGGTGACCCTGAGAAAATCCACTTGGGGGTGCACGATTACTAGGGATGCAGGATAATTTAGCTGCACTGCCTAGGAAAAGCTGTCATTTCCATTGGCCATCAATTTTCACACAATTTTATAGAGCCTTGGAGAGTTGGAAAAGTGTTTTTAATAGAGCCAGGAGGGATTGGGAGGTTTATTTTATAGAGGCTGTGGTGCCTAGGTTGGGAGGGTCGTTGTATATGGTTTCAGGTTGGCCTTGCTTGATCAGCCGAAGGGTTGATGCGAATTTAATCTCCAGAACAGTGGACTTGGCAAGGAAACTGGAGATTGCTCGTGACGAGGTGATAATGATACGAGGCAGTTCATTCGCTGTTTCTGCACGGTCGAGTTTCCTTCCAAGTCTGCTTTAGCTTGGTCGCTTAGCTGCTAAGGCTTAGCTTGAACTCGCTGCTTCACTGCCAACATGGGCCGTGTCAGATTCGAGCTCGCGTCTCGCTATAGTGCCAACACCGTTTCTGCGGTCAGAAATTCTGCACTCCAAAAAGCTCCCTACATGTTCAGATGTTGAAAACTGACAGATTTTGTGAACCGCCCTGCCCCCCCACCAAATCCCTGTAAAATGCAGAGTGCGACTCCCCCATTGGGAGCCATAAATGTTGAAGATCAGGGTTCACCGGGTTCACCCCTCATTTCATAGAGGATCATAGAGGAAATTTCAATATCCATCTTATAACTTTCCAACTATTTTCCAACTATATTGTTTCTTGTTTCATCCACTGAAGATATTGCCCTACCAACAACGGATGAAGAAATTTCGTGAACACCTGTTTTTAGTGAGGGTTGCTAGACGCTAAATGATACAAAAAGGCCCGCGCACCTCGTAGTAGGCTTTGTACAGCTTCAGGATTCGGACCTCGAAGGGTACATGGGCCCTATCCGAGGGACTGAAGAGGGCGACATGCTCAGCTCTCGATCGATCTGCAACCATCCCGTCATTCACTGCGGGCACATCACATCTGAGACATCGGCTAATCTCAGCACGCGGACTACTCGACTGGCTCTAGCGCCAACTCGAGCTGTCCTGTCGGGAACAATAGGTTACAAGTTCCATTGGCCAATGGCCGGAAAACAAAGGATTCTTGTCCGACATTCTCATCTCCCGTGGTCATCAGGTGGAGAAAGTCAAGTGCCTGGTGGAGGAGTTCTCACTTTCCCAACTGGCCTGTTCTTGTTTTCTTCTGGCGATGTGGCTGTGGGTCAAAACCTTTTGCGCTCTGCTGAATATGCAAACATATGCAATACACATGAACGGAATGGCCTACCTGGGAATGCTTTATCGGCCCATGGGCTTTTGGGTCTTCAGTTTGGAGCCACTGTCGTCTTTTGGTAGAGGAGACAAACCATGGACATGAAATGAAATGAACGACAAATCAGTCTATGCCAAACAGCGTCAAATGGATCTGAATCCAGCTCCCCTCCTCACCCTGCTCACCCCACTCTCCTGCCCGACCGCAGCTCGGACGCTTCGCCAGTGTCGCCACCCTGACCAAAAGAGGTGTGGCCATGAGGAGCTCTCTTGACAATGCAGTCTAGTGATCGTGAGGTCCTTTCGTACCTGGAGCTCAAGCAGTAGAAATGGCATGAAAAAACCACACTCGCTTTTCTGCCACTTGGTTTGCACAAACACTCCCATGTTCAACAATATAGCAGCCGTCAGAATTCTGACAAACCAAAGGACACCCCGCCATCCGCAACAAGGGAACCTCCCACCTTCAGACCTGAAAAGCAAACACCATCCAGCCACTGAACTGAAAGGCCTTCCTTCACCAATGGCCTCCACCCTAAAATAGCAATGGCCTCCACCCTAAAATAGCGATGGCCTCCAACCTACTAGCGATGGCCTCCAACCTAATTATCCTGATTGTGATTAGGTTTTAAAAATATGAAAAATCATAACAGTCCTATCCATGAAGCGGCGAGGCCCTGCTTCGTGCCTGCATCCACTCACTGATCCAGGTTAGGTCAAGCCTCAGGTGTCGACAGGAAACCTTATGAAAATACTCCCAACGATGAAAAGGTGCGCCTAACGTGTCTGCATGTTCCTTCACTTGACCCATGTGGCTGTCGGAAGCCCTGGATGCGTGATGAAACCGCAAGATACCAGGCCCTTCAGCTAGATGTCAACTGTCCAACTCAGTGCTGCGAACTGAAATACATTAACTACAGGAAGATTCAGCAGGCTGATGCTGGCTCTGAATGGGCAGCATATCATATGGCGCCGTGCCCATCTATGACCTTTCCCTTGTCCGGAATCTTCTCTGAGCCATCTCAGAGAGAATCTGTGTTTTCTGAGCACGCCGCAGGAGCGTTGCTGTGCTGATCACATCCAGCAGAAAGAAAAAGCTAAGGTAGTAGTCAACCTCCACAGGCCCAGTGGTTCTTGCATGGAATCCAGGCTGGGCGTTCAAATCATGATCCGGTGTTTGCCAATGGCAACCTTCTCAGGCCATATTTCATGGAAAAAACATGATGTTCAGAAGTATTATATATATGCGAAAGCCGGAGCCCCACCAGGGGCGACTCTATGCGGGCCCTTTTCATCCGCGCCTTGAGATGAGGTTCCGCTGCCGGTGGCGGTCATATGCATTTACACTCCTCTCTACCTCTTTACTTTTCAGTCTTTCAAACGACGTGAAAAGGAGCTGCATGGATACTTGATGGTTTCACCATCGAGACTCTTGGGATCGAAGCCACTGGCCTTGAGAAAGGCCCTGAGATCATCCAGCTTTGGGGACTTGGTACCCGCCGTCAGCACCCATCCAAGATAATTGGCCATTTCTTTGGATGTCTTTGCTTCAACAAGCATTGATGAGTAGGTTAAGTCTCTTTTGGCAAACTTGGGTAACTCACACACTGTCGTTCCCCATTGGTGTAGAGAACGAATTCCCTCTGGTAGGGGAATGTCTTCTCCTTGTTTGGTCTCTGGCTCGGCGCGTTCGATCGACAAGGATGAATGTCCTGCTGACTTGACATTAGGTTTGAGCACTTCTTGGCGCAAACTGAGAACCTCATATTTGTCCAGCTCTTCTGAGGGATCAATGAGGCGTCTCTTTGCTCCATCGGTCATGGCTCCTTGGGTCATAGAACTGGTCGGAGCTGAGGTCGAAACATCATGTAGAAGATGCTCTAGCTCTCCACTTTCATTCAAATCACGCTGCATGGCCTTGACATCGTCCTTGCTCAGGCCTCGGTAATATCCAGCCATGGCTCAGCAGTCGGAGATATAGAAAAATGCTCTCACACAAACAAAAATGGTGCGCGCAAAAGATTCACGACAGCACTTCCTTGACGCCGTCTGCACAGTGATCTCACTGTGTTTGAACCCCCAGTGTGAAGCCAGGAAAACACGATCTGTTCATGCTTGCCTGCGCAAAATCACATTTACAGTCTCACGACAGACTGCATCCCCATCTTGGTTATGCACCACTCGAAAAACAGAAAGCATAACTCTCCCCATGCAAAACGTGATACAAGGATTGTCACGTCTGGCCCCTGCGTGCATGCTGTATAGCTACAAAACGAATTCGTGCTTTTTAGGTTTTCATTTGTCATTTTTCTTTGGTTTGTCATATCGGAACTTCTCATGTTTCTGAAGGCGTGCTTCCTTTTCTCTTGCTTCATGTTGCATGCGACGAATCAGTCGTTCCTGCTTTTGCTGTTTCTTCTTTTCCAACACCACGGCCTCGGGATTCAGCTGGTACTCGCCTATGTTCAGAGCTGCCCTGAGCAGATCTGCGGGATCTTGGGCATCCTTTGTTAGCCCGTCGGCCAGCATGAGTTCAGTCGGACACCAACGAACAAAAAGACCAGTACGGCTCATGCATTGTTTGAGGATTGCTAGGTCTATTGCTATGCGTTTGTCTTCACACTTTGAAACGGACGACATGGATGCCATGTGGTCGTACGGGCTTTTACAGTCTGTGATACCAACCACTTTTGCAAGCTGGATCTCATCTCGGCATTTCACGCCGGGGATTCGTGGTTGTTGTTGGACCTGTTCTGACGTCCGGAGGTCAAAGTGACCTTGTTTGGCTTCAGCCAGCAAAAGACTCATCCATTCCGCTGTCGCACTGGCGGTTGTAAAGCTTTGAGCTTCACCCGCGAGAGTGGACGCTACCACTCGAGGCAACTTGTAGGAACGCCAGGAGAAAGGTGACCAGGGTGATGATTCATTATCTACTAGTCGTTCATCTACAAAGGCGGCTATATATCCTGCTTGAGTCTTATGGTGCTTAGCATTACCAAACCCTGCGTCAGAGTGATAGCATATCGCTAGACTGTCCCATGGAATGTGCTTGACTGTGATCTCTGTTCCACTAAATTGCTTAGCTCGATGTACTAGCTGATTTGCGAACAACAAGTCCCTCACCCTAGGCTCTGGAAAACACTGCTGCGAGAACGATGTCTGCACACACAGGTCTGGCCGTGTTTGTGAACTCAGCCAATTTGCTGCTCCATTGATTGCTCTCAAGGCTGACACTTCACGTTCTGTGGCCTTTGCTTCCTTATCTTTCAGTCGTTCTTTTGACACTGAGATTGGTCGTATGTGTTTAGCGTATTCTGACTGTTGATAGGTGATCTCGAAGCTCTGTTGATCCTGAGTGTACACTACTCCACAGAATTCCCCGTTACCTACTCGCCATTTACGATACGGAAAGGCTTGTTTCAATCTAGCAATGGCTTGCTCATACACTGGACCCTCACCTCCTGTGATGGTGTCATCGACATGAGCTCCAAGCACCCCACACATGTTTGCTGAATCGGTGTTTCCTGACTTGTCTGGAAGATAATACAGGCAGTTGTCGAATTGTGATCGAATCCAGCCTAGCGAGCGTGCTGTCTCATCGAATTTGAACCACCAGTTGAAAGGAGCATCATTTGACCCATACACATTTCCTGTTACCTCAATCACATCTTCGGGGTCAAGACCTGGAACACCACCTTTGGGCTGGTGAGCATACAGGGGAGCGAACTTAGGATTGAGTGGACCAGCTTCTAGAAAAGCACCCTTTATATCTCCTAGTTGCATCGTCCATCGACGGCTGACGAGTATCTGAAGAACCAGTGATCGGGAGAGAGGATGGAGTGTGGGACTATGACAGGCCCCTGACCGGATCTTCTCTTGAAAATCAGGATCCAAATGTCCCTGAAGGCACCACCTGGATTTGATTCGTTCACCGTCCTCATCCTTCTTATTGATTACTACGAAACGGCTCCCGATGAATCTGTCAGGATGCTTATTTCGAATTTCTCGAGCTTTAGCTCCTTTCCACACACGAATTGCTTGCTTGCCGGACAAAGTTTCCCACTCCAATGTCTTCGAGGCATCGACTTTGGCTTGCAATTCTGGCTCATTACCGTGGACTGGGATCTCTTTTTGAGCTCGTTTTTGAAGAAACCCGGCGATCAGACAGTCAATTGGGGACCATGTACTCCATGGTGAAACATCTGAAGCAATGGACGATAAGAGAACTTCATCTTCCTCCGAGAGACGAGATCGTGTGTGTCTACTATCTTCAATGTCCTGACTCGCCTCACGTTTGCTGCTTGTTCCTCTAGGGCTACTGAAAGGTTGATCTGCTGCTGGGAAATGTGTCTCTAGCATTGGCACAAGCTCAGTGAACACCTCATTAATGTCATCCATTTGCATGGCTGGGGGACGCATTAAGTACTCGGGAGGAGACTTCTGGGTGTGTCGGATGCGTCGGATAGGACCATAATCCTCTGTTCGAGGGATTCGAGGTTCCTCAGGAACTTCGGGACCTGACACATCTGCCTTTGCCTCGGGCATTGGTGTGTCTTCTGACTCGGCTTGTCCTTCTTGCCACATCTGCGCTGCTGTCTTTCCAGCCACTTGCAACAGGTCAGCGCGATCGAGGATCTCCGGTTCGGGCGGATTATCACTGTTTACCAAATCAATGAACTGACCCTTCGGAAATTGTCCCCGTTCTAAGAGGTTTTTGATCCCAAGTAGCTCGTTTGCATCGAAATCAGCCATCGTTTTCTCTTCCGTGGTAGTGTGTCTTAATTGTTCTGGGGAACAGCGGAAAATGCTTCTTCTGTGGGCTACGATGTAGTTCTGTCCTAGTTTCCCCAAAATCATTCCCGCCCCATGCCATTTACCTCCTCGAATTAGTGAACCCTCTTGCCATTTCTGACTCCGCCAATAGAAAACCCAGTCACCAGAGACAAAAGTCTGTCGAACCCGTGGTCTTGCTCGAATGGCGGCCTTGAAGGCTTTGCTGTCTTGACATTGGAGGACTGCCAATCGTGCTGACTGACGGACGCATTGAGACCTTTGAAAGGCGGTCTCAAACACGCTGGCATCTACCGCTGGCAGATGCACTTTATCTTGCATCAGATCTTGAGGAATCCTGGGGTTCTTTCCGAACACGATTTGATATGGACTAGCACCTGCTACAGTGATCAGAGAGTTCTTGGCGATTTGCGTTTGCATAACGTTCTCCACGAACTCCTCAGGAGAAGTGGGAGGATTCTCCTCGTGAACCTTGCTCAGGATTTTCTCAAACCACTGGCCGTGGCGCTCTACTTTCCCCAGTTGCCAGTGTGAATCTGCCGCTGTGTGCATGAGATTGATGCCGTGTCCTTCACAATACTCTCCTAGGGCGTCACTCAAGTTGGGTCTACTTGGGTCTAGTTCCAAGACCTCTGGCGCACCTGCCCAAAGAAGCCATGAGTCACGCAGGACGCCCTTCAGCAGTTCGGCAGTCTCACGTTGGAAGATTGGAGTCATCACGCGCAGAGAAGAGCCATAATCAATTATGCTCACACACGGCACACGCTGGTTCGGCCGCCAGCCGGGCAAATACTTAACGTCCATGCCTACTCGTGAGTTGAATTCCATACATCGACTGGCCTTGGCAGGAAGAGATGCCTGGGGTTGTTGATGATTCCTACAGATGCTGCATTCAAAGGACCGGGCCATGACTACCACTTCCTCTTTAGCCTTGCTATGTTGGAGGATGCGAACTAAGTCATGGTTGGACGGGTGCCCTAAATTGACATGCAAACGACGCAACGCCGTTAGCAGTTTGGCATTGGATCCCTCCTGATCCTCTGGCTCATGAACTGATTCAACGGCCGCCGGATTTGCCTCTCCGACGAGGCATTCTGTATCTCCGCAAGCAGCTAGGTCTATGTTCTCTTTCCAGACTTTGCCATGATTGTTGAGACACCATTGCATCATGCATTGTACAAATTGCGAGGTGTACTCGGCCACATAAGTGCTTACACGTTCACCTGAGTGCAATTTACCTTCCACGTGTCTGTGTTTGAGACAGCCTGGACACTGCTTGAACAGATGCATATGTTCTGGTTTCGCCGATGTCATGAGACCTGTAGCCTTCCGAATAGGAATGTTTGTATCAGGACACTTGAGACCATATGCACACATGTCTACTCTACGAACACCATATTTACGACGAAGCGGAGTGAGTGCATTGTCATCCCATGTGTTAGCCCCCCAAGGATGTTCGAACAAGAAGTCACCACCTCGATCCAGCTGCTTGCGAATCTGTTCGGCAGCGAATCGAACGTGCATTCTGGATTCCCTGATCAGTCGAGCAGTCTCAAGGGCTGATCTGCGGTGGCGGTTCAAATGCTCCCACCCACCTCGGTGAGTGCATGGTGGACAAACGACCAACAGGCGTGGTCGAGCATTCTCTAGTTCTTCATCTACCTGCTTTTGTATTTCGGGTTTGGACAAATTCCAGCCCTGCTTGATATCGTATGAAAGACCATGATAACCCATGTTTTCGGCTTCTTTCGAAAAACGTGGTGGTGAAAACAGTTCCGCAACTAAACACTTCGAACCCTGTTGGTTTTCCATCTTCTTGACTTGGGCTAACAAACAACGGCATTCTTTCTTTTTCAACGTGATCTTTGTTTTGACTTTTGTCGGTCGAGCCTCTGAGATTCTAGACGGGCGTTCATCTGCAGCGAGCGGCGTCCAGGAACTCTCCGACTTCCTTCTTGGAAAAGCAAGCACATCAATCAACAGCTGACCGGACTCATTGGTGTGCATCTGAGCCTGGCTGTGAAGGAGCTCCATCTTGTTGTTACTGAAATCTAGTTTGACAGCCATCTTTTCTAGGGTAGGACGTCCCAACAACAGCGGTGCACTGCCGGCGATGACTGCGGCATCGATCAAGCCGTATTGTTGAGCTATACCCACTGGCAGTCGACATGAGACTTGTGAAGTCTCTGTGGCTCCGTTCCCAAACCGAAATGTACACACCTTTGGAAAATATTGCACTGTATGGCCGTGTTGCTGAATCATCTTTTCCAGAATGGATAATGTTTGCCGACCAATCAAAGTCTTGCCACAACCACTGTCTACAACCCCAAAACCTGGGGATGATACCAACCCTGTACTGAACACTTCCTGCACATGTCCAACAAACGCCGGAGTCAAATCATCTCCAGAAACCATGAGGGCCTCAGCAGCATCATGGGCACTTGTGTCTTCCACATAGTTTGCCGATGTGGCCTGCTGAGAGCTCGTTGAAACAGAGTTGTCAGTGGTCTTGTTTGGCTGTTGTCTGCACTCCCTGGCCCAGTGGCCTATTTTCCCGCACCGGTTGCACTTGGTGCGGCGTTTCAACTCTTCAACTTCCACCTTGAATTGTCGACGACCAGTGCCGCCGTAGGACTGTCCAAACTGACGACTGCGTTGGACCTTGGTGATCTCCTTGCGGCGTTCTTTCCAAGAGACTGCTAACGCTTCGGCAGCTTCCCCTTCAGAATAGACCTGTTCGTCTATTTCGGCATCTTGTTGATGTTCTGCCAAAAACGCTTGAACACCCTGCATGTATGGATCACTGTAACTGTCATCGTCGTCTTCAGCGCCTGGTGGAACCTCCGGAATCTGGTCCACCTGAAAGGCACCAACTGGTTTCCGCTTGCTTGCGGAGGCCTTCCACACGGGAAAGCATGAACGGAGTGCGGCCGACAACACCTCGAAGGATAAATTGCCCTGTGCTTTTGCTTTCACTATTGCTTTTTGTTCTTCACTAAGTCCAGCACAATTCAAAGCAATCCAGCCTTCCGCTTCAGGCGGAAACTTCACGCTGGCTCTTCGCTCACAACGGTCAAAGACCTCTCTCACCCGAGCAGTCCACTGCTTCATAGTCTCCGACTCGCTTGCAGCCAGCCCAAAAACTTCGCCCAAAGCCTCACCCATCATGTCATGTTTCTCCTTCTCGGGGAAACGACGCTCCAGTGTGTCCCAAAGCTTTGCTTCACCTTCTGCTGTAGCCAACTCTTCGAGAGTCAGATGTTCACAGGCATCCCATGCCTTTCCATCTAACAAAGTCAGCAGCCACGGGCCTCTCTGTTGTGTCTTCAGATCTTTGATCGTCAGCAGTTTAGCCTGTGCCCATGTTTTCCACTTCCGAAGTGCCTTCCCGGCATCTTCGTCTTCTCCGTTGAAACGCTTGACCGACTTATCATCCATGGCTCGAGCCCCCCCTGGTGGGGCTCCGCTACCAATGCGAAAGCCGGAGCCCCACCAGGGGCGACTCTATGCGGGCCCTTTTCATCCGCGCCTTGAGATGAGGTTCCGCTGCCGGTGGCGGTCATATGCATTTACATATATATATATATACATATAGCGGTCGCAAAATAAATAGAAACGGTATGAAACGGTTTCCAATACATGCTCAAAGGAATTTGACTTATCGATATATTTTATTTGGGAGTCTAACTAATTGATTACAGTGTGTATGTATATATATATGATAGCATGTATATATACATCACATCTTTCTCTGTATGTGGGAGGTGACAAAGCCCTCGCAAACGCGCACGCGCCATGAGAAACTAGCGCAGCCACGCACAGCCACAGTGCTTGCCCCCGAATCTCCCAAGCCTTCCCCAAGCAGGAGAGGATGACCTGGTCGCTGCTCCAAAAGAACGTCTCCGAGTTCTGGTGACCAACCAGTCATGAGATGTGTCCGATCAACCTCGATCAACTCCTGTCAGAATGTTGCAGATAGCTTCATCGAGTTGTGCCGCGATTCAGTATGAGATCCATGTTTTACTTCGGAAGCCCAGACCATCTGTACGGTATTCACCCAACGGTTGCTGGCCTCACCCGTGAAGACGAAAATACCTGGGCAGTCATGTACTGAGTACAGCTTCAGTGATCGCCCTATACAAGACACCATGTGAATGAACTGGTGAACGATTGGCTTGAGAACAATATGTTTGCAACCTAGCTAGGTCTAACAGTACGTGAACGAGCTAGTGTGGCTTGTGGACCTTTGGGATCTGTCAGACGGGCTTTGACCGACCGCTAGCGGTCATCTTCACTGCAGATCAGCTGCATAATAGACCAATAGAATTGAAAATATTGTCTGCAGGCTTTTCAGTGAGGATGATCCTGGCTCGGGTTGATTCAAGCCGGAAGCCATTCATAGAAGCATCCTTTTTCAAGCAAAGACATTTCTGTGCTGCCCACATGCTGGGGTGTTCATGCGCATCAAATCTCAACATGGAGGTTTCAATCAAGGCAGTTCTTTCATCAGAGGAATGAATTCTTAGCTAGCTCCCAGTCAACTCGCACGCAAATCCTCAAATCGTCTGCAGTCAGCGCGTAGAAAGTGAGGATGGTGGTGAAAGCCATAAAATATGTGTTGTCTACCTGGCATGTTCGATGCAGTTGGCACTCTGAAAGGGAGAGGAAGCACTTTGTGACTTTGTGTGATCTTTGCGGATATAATATACCGTATTATATATCTAATATATATAGTTATGTAAGTTATATAATATATATATATATCAATATGGCAACTCATGTCAAGTCTTTAGTCCGAAGGTCTTTCGAAAGCTGAATCTGGAAGATGCGAAGACTACATCCAAGCGATGCAGCGACAACCGCTGCAACAAAGAAGTCTGTCCACTTCCTGTCCAAGCCGGGAGGGCAATTGTTCTCGACACCACTATGTACAAAGGCACATGCTTTCCTCAGTCGCAACAGGAAAGCCGTCTGGGTTGTTACAGTATATACCATTTCTTTTGGCTGCATGTTTGGGCATGTCTGGGCTGCTTCAGCACCGAACCGGAACTGCGCGTCGAGGTTCAGTACACGTCTGAGGTCGCTGCGCGTTTTCTTGGCATCAGGTTTCCTAGAGGCTTGTCTCGTCTGCCGTGGAGTCGTTGGTCCTGACGTGTGTTTAGGCGCCGTTCAGTGTTCTCACCTCTCCAGAGATGCGAAGGCCATGGATGAGACACTTGTTTTTTTTGCGTTTGAAGCTCTTGAGATCTTTTCGGGCGCCGGTTCGGCATGTTCCAAAGTGGAAAAAGAAATATGTGCCCCATTCGGCCAGGCTGTTGTCGCCCGTCGCCCGCATCTGTCCTTTCTTATCCTCAGAGCCTTCAGTCAGTACCGAGACCTTTGGACCTCGGACGGCGACCAGAAGCCACGAGAGTGGCGAAGTAGGAACACGCTAAGCCGCAAAGTATATCAAATAAGACTAGTCATGTCCAAACTCTGGGCAGCGCTTCTCCGGAGATGGAGAAAACACTGCTTGGTAGACACATGTTTAGACTTAGACGCATCTTGTCCTGGTGCTTGCAGGCGCTTCTGATGTTTGTCGATGCGCATGCTCCGGTTTGTATGCTCACTTGCAACAAACAGGAAGGGACCGATCTAGAAATCTTGCCGGTATCTTGGTGCATGGTTTAACTCAAGCATCAGTTTGTCCAAACCTCACTGGTTTTCCTCAACTTCCACTCTTGAATGTGTTCCCCAAGCTTTGTGCGCAAATAGTAAAGCACCCAATTCGGCATCCTGTCAGTCTATCGGTGTTCGCCCAGTCCGTTCACAGGATTCCGTCATATTATGAGGATGCCTAAAATCAAAAAAATGTCTATACTATTCATTACTATTCTATATGTCCGTATACAACTCTTGACGTTGTTGCTGTTGCTGTTGCAGTTGCTGTTGCTGCTGTTGCTGCTGTTGCTGCTGCTGTTGTTGTTGTTCCTCCTTATGGTCTTACAGTGCTTTCACTGACTGCAACATGTGCAGTATACAGTGCACTTCATGCATGTGGTGCTTGGGACCTGGCACACATTCGAAGCATGGAAATTAATTCCAATTCATTCCATCCATTCGAAGCCCATGCAATAGCAACTCGCCAAACATCATCCCCTCTTCTCTTGTCCATAGAGATCACATGTGCAGGTCTGTCTGCGGGAAGGTGTTTGAGGCTCCCTGTTTTTGTTTGTTTTCGTTATATATCGTTTTCGTGCCGCTGCCTAGTGCAACACCGTTTACCCAGCAACGAGTCTTTGGTCCATACTCAACACACTGAACCCTTGTGCAAACATCCCTCGTCCTTTTCATCCAAACAGATTGTTCATCCCTTGGTTATGGGTTTTGTCTTCCGTATCGGTTTACAGTGGATTGAGCACGCTTCTGGCAAAGCAAACAAGCAAAAAAATCCTTCCTACGTGTTTTTCTTTTCATATTATGGCGATGGCGATGACGGGTCTGTATTCGTTTCATTTCATTCCGATACAGGTCCCTGGGATTCTGATTCTGTGACAGTTGTACACGTGACTAACTCTCAGTATGGCTCAAAATAGTTCAGCCTAAACTTTGACTTTGACGTTCTCTGCGATCAAACTGATCTTCAACCGAACAATGCGTGCGGAAAAGTGTACAATATATGTTCAACAGGCATGTGTTTATACTGGATCACCCCCTCTTTCTTTTCTTGACGAACTTTTTCGGAAAACACATGAAAACACCAAAGGAGCGCAGAAAAGGGGGGTGGCGAACGACCTCTGTGTGTGTGTTGTTGTGCATTGTGCATTGGAACCACCGAAACGGGAGTCGAACCACCGAAAGCTTCCGGTCCCATGTGCTCCGGCCCCCACTTCGGCCATCCACCGAGGGCTCCGTGGAGCGGGAGTCCTCACGGTCGACACCGTAACTCGTCGGACCGAAGGCTGGGGTCCTTCGGGTGTTGATATGAAGAATCCAAGGAGTCCAACGAAATGTGCCACAAAAATGGGGTTGTCTCAATGCCAGCCAGTCGCACAAGTCACCTGGAGCATGCTAGTGGCCATGACTCAGTTTCTCATGGTTCAATTCTGTTCAAATGTTTTACAGCAAAAGGCTTTTCCACCCGAACCCGAACCCTTGAGCTTCAGTGCCTGCCATCCAACCCCGCCACGACACGGCCTTGAGTGCAGCCCTTCCACACGGTCACCACCTCCGCACGGCCACCTCAGCCTGGGCCTCCGCACTCTGGACCCTGGAATTTGCAGCTGAGCCTGACAGCAAGAGTCAGGATTCACAACTATAAGGAATTTACAGTATCTTCCCATCACACCATGGATCTTTGGGAGAGCTGAGAGATCTCTCAAACGCTTTTAATATAGCCACATCGCACACCTAGTGCAAGAAGCTCTGGCTTCTTCTGCTCCATCCCAGCTAGAAACAACTTGCCTTGGCAGGAGGTGGTGTGGATGGTGCCGCAGCAGCCGGTGCTGCTGCGGAAGGTGCTGCCATCCTTGGTCGATGTATAGAACGATGCCTCTTGAGCGATGGGTGGAACTTCCAGGAACCCCCAAGTGAATCAGCCAAAGCCTTCCTGAAAAATGGGCCCACGCACCCTGTTGAAGAGTAGACCCAGTGCACCGCCATGTCCTTCCGAGGCCCCCACAGAGCTGTGTCCAAGGATTCGGACAACTGCACCAATCCCGTCTTGATCCGAAAAGAAACAGCATGAAGGTCTGGCCAAAACACACTCCACCCGAAGAGCAGAACCCGCGATCCGCGAGCTGAATTTTGCCTGCACCTAATCACAACCGAGCAACAAGGTGCAGCGAGTGTCCTGTATAAAATTGCACAATCCTCACTCACACTGAAACGTAATAATTGCAAACAAAAGCACACACAAATCAAACAATCCCCACACTCAAACACACACGCAAACGCTTTTTGTTGACCTGCCGTCCCTTCCCTCCCCCGAGCTACTGCACCATCCTCCCAAACCATGTCACTGCCCCGTGCCGTGCCCGGTCTCTTCGCTGCCGTCGGTGTATGTGCTGACCCGTAAAAAACCGAGCAAGTCCGACAGCTGTGCGTCAGAAGCTGAAAAAAACGGGGCAAAAAAACAAACGTAATGTGTTCCCACCGTTCCCACCCGCCTGTTGGACACCACGAAATGTATGACCCTATGACCCTATGACCCCATGCCCGGCCACCCGCTGCAGCACATTCCGGCGATCAGATTTGCGTTGACGACATATTTTGACAATGCCTTCAGGTCTTGGTCTGTGTTCCTTCTTCCAGGTGTTTCGCGTGGGTTTGGATGGCACTATTTGAACCATACTTGTTTGTCGACAAATCTCAACCCCGGGCGCCAGCGCAACACTCACATGACATCTGCTCAATGAATGAAATGCATTCACCCTGATGGGTGCACGAATGATTTTGTTGACCCGCCGACAAGCTGCATGCCAGACCTAAAATATGCTCTTACATTGTTCGGCAAATGAATGTATTTGTTGGCCCGCCCTACCCCTCCCCGTGCGCAACGATGCTCATGACCCATGCTCAACCTTGCTACATGAATGCTGTTGACCTGCTGCACGCAAGACTTGGATGGATGACTGACTGACGACTGGTTTTGTTGACCCTGCCTACCTTCGAAGAACAGGGCTACTCATGGGAGGTCCACTCATGAACACTGTGTCTGGCGCCAATCACCGAAAACTACTCCAAGCTACTGCAAGCATCTGACTGTGCTATAAACAAGTTCGATGAAAGAAAGGGTAGGAAAAGGTAGATGATAAATGCTGGCAGGTCGTTACATCTACCTTCCTTCATGAGTCCTTAGTAATGAGACAGCTTGTCCATAGCAAAAAAGAACTCGACGCCATGCCATGCTTCTTCCATCCGTTTCTCCCCAAAGGGACCACGAACTTCCTTCACAATAAGCTCCTTCTCACGAAAATAGTCCGTTGTCTCTCTTCAAAAAGAACACTTGCAAAAAGGAATTTCACTCCGTCTGAGATTTCTGGGAGGTCGCACCTCCCAACACACCGATGGCAAATGTCCTCATGTGTTTCTGACCTTTGAGAAGGTGCGCATTAACTTCCAAGGTGAGACCCAAGGCCCAGGTCACGGGCTCTGCAGGGCACCGCAGGGCTCCGCAGGCTTCGAATACAAGGAACAAAACGAACAAAAAAACATCCCGCTTCACACCAAAAGGGGTGATGATGGGTGATGGATGATGTTTCTAAAGAACATCACCCGACCTGTGGTCTGATCTTTCAGGCAAAAACATTTGGTTCTTCTGCTCATAATGTCAAGTCCCTGACAAGGTTCTAGTCTCAGGCTCTACGTCTCAAGGAATCCCTTCGGAAGCAAATGAAATGCCCCAAAGCCCGTGACTCCAGGCGGCCCGTTCTTCGCGGCCCGTTACAGCCTCGCTCAGTAAGGGCCAGGTCTGGCTGCCGTGTTAGGAAGGTATCAAGCATTTCATTTTGACCTTCTACCCAGCTTCTATAGATTTACCATGATTTGCTCGTTTATTTTTGTATCTGAATGCCCTCGCATAACACTGTAAACCGCAAAATCACCCTTCACTGTGCCTCTGCATTTGCTGCTGGATGGCGCCATATGCAGCCTTCCAAAGCCAACTGTCAACGGTCTTCCAATAATGGTCTTCCTGCGTGGGATTTCTAGTTATGCCTCATTCCTTGGCCATAAGTGCTAAGCTCCAGAATCCTCCTCCCCCAGTTCCTAGCTCCCTCCGACAACCGGCATCGACTGTTTGCCAGGACTCTGGGAACGTTTGTTTTGTCCAGCTGGGTGTGTCTCCATTTTGGACCCCAAGCAGCAGTTGTTTCACACTCCGATCCCCGAACCACGTGAGCGGAACTGGATTTCTACAATCCATGAGTGTAGCGCCTTTTCTTTGCATCCGTTTACTAAGTTTCATGCAGCATGCATTTATCAATTTTGAAAAAGGAAACATGTTTTTGTTAGTATTGAATCGATGATCCCACTGAATAAGTTAAATGAAAATAGTTTACCCGCCAATTTCACGTGCAATCATCTGTCACTAATTGCCAATTGCTACCACTTGTGCGATCTGCAGAACTTTAGTGGGTTCTATTTCTGCCCCAGTTTCCCGCTGCAAATTATTGCGATGTCAATTGCCTGCCCGGCCTGCCCAGCAAGTTGTTGACCACCTGAATCCGATTTGTTGCACCGACCCACCCCCCCCCCCGAAATGGTGTCGAATCCGACCACTCTGTTCTGGACGCTACTTGATCCTGCCGAAAACGCCAACTCTACAAACCGTACCGGGCTCGCTGCTTGGGTCCACGCCGAAGCCACCGCAGCCTGCGCAGCCTGAGCTGGTTGGACCCATGCAACAAACAAGCCATGAATCATGACTGAACAACAAATCCCTGCCTTGCGCCTGCTGGAATTGGGCCTCAGGTGCAACACTCACTGACCACCGGTGTCCAAACTCAACATGGCCTCGCTTGATCAACCTCTTTGCAATTCGGGACGCTCTTCCGCATGCGAAACCAGGGCATGTCGGACGTCAAATGTACACCATCACTGATGGCTGCGGTTACAAGGGTGGCTGAGCATTTGCCGCCACCATGGCTGGCCAGGTCACTGATCTCACATGCAACAACCAGAGCAATGACTTTCAACCAGCTGCCACGGCTGGTTTTAAACCAAGACCGTGGAAAACAAATGAGATGACACATCTTTGTATGCCAAGCCTATCGGAAAATGGTCAAAATTGACTGTTCTTTCGGCTTGTCGGACATTTCGACTGCCCCTCGTCACGGGGCCAGTCACATGCAGCTGCTCACACAATGGCTTTTCTGAAAAGGCCACTCCCTAGGTCTTCCTCCGATGTGAACCAGGACGCACGCCCATAGGCACCTTCAAATTTGGCCTGACAATCAATGACCAAAAGAATTGGCCTACTACAATACTGTAAAGGTTCGTAGCCCCGAAAACATCCCACGAAACCAGTCCCCAGGCAACACATTCGCAGGTAAAGCTCTCAGATTCAAGGATGTAGAGTCTAGTGGAGCAGTTTCACAAGTGTTTCTTGGAAAATGCTTGCATCGAACCGCACGTTCCGTATGTCGCCATCGGACACTTCCAAATGATGCTTTTTTGAGTATTTAATAATCCAGGTCCAGTGCATCACCCTGTATTTGGACAAAGGATTTGCAGAATCAAGGATAATTACAGTAATGTTACAGTAATTACACAAATCTCGCGCCCCAACACCGTTGCCGAAAACTGCTGTTTGCCGTTTGCCTTTTTATTTGGGACCCTTGTCTTGAACCCGGCAATGCATATCAGCAGTGTTCTTTTTTGCCAAAGCATCCAGGCCACCGCCGTTCTTCGACTGTCCTTCGCCTGTCATCCTTCCCCCTCGCGGCCCTGGCAACCGCCTTGAAGGTCTCATTGCAGGTCTTGTCGTTGGAGAAATCCAAATCGTGCCCGAAGACCACGGTGTCGATCACCGACTTCAGCAGCGGCGCATGGAACTTCTCCCTGCGACCAAAATAGGAGACTGTATAGCGAAAACAAGTTGCAAACAAAGACCCACCATGAACCCCACCATTGATCGGATGTCCAGACTTCTGCCCACCCCTTTGAGGGGTAAAGGTGCTCCTGAAATCTCCGACCGCCTTAGATCATTGGAGTGTGTGGTTGGCTAGCACATGCGTCTCCATTGTCATTGTCCTTGTCAAGGTTCAAACCTATAAGGGATCTGTTTGCAGCTGTCCAAGTGCACTCTTGAGACTTTCATATTGGGCATTGGAAGCTGAATAGAATAGGTATTGTTTGTTGGTATGCACCCCCAATTCCTGAAGGACAGCAAGGCACTCATGTGAAGAGCAAAAGGATCAGCACCGTATGCGTTTGCTCAATGGTTCTGACATGGGCAGCAAAGCGGCATCAGAAACTCTTTGAAGTCAATCCACTGTCGGTTCTGCTTGCGTTGGCCCTTGCACCAAAAAACGCTAGAGACGCTCGTGATGGCTTCAAGCGGCTGTGCATGGCTGTGCCAAGCAGTTGAGTCGACGTCAAGGCTTCTGTGTTCCCACGGAACCCATTTTGTGCGTTTGGGAGGCTATGGCGGGAGTGGCTCCCCAGTGTCATCTGGCGAGGTTGAGCATTGCAAACGGTTGTGTGCGGTGCGGTTTATATTGTTGACATGACAAGCACCAACCCCAATGCGCAGCAAAATGTGCAATTGTGGGCAGTGAGTTGGCGTATACAGTGTTGAGTGGATGTCGTTTTGGCGGCGTGCACGCGACCACAGATTCTAGGGGTCTTGTGCTCTAATTTAGGAACAGGTCCACCTGGCTGATATTTGCCGCGGCTGCTATTTACAGCTTCTTGAGTATCGCACATCTGCAGGACGCCAATGAACAAAGCTGCAAAGCAATCAAATCTCGCCATGTCCTGACCGGCTGCAGCATGCGGCAACCACAAACTCAAATTTAGACCACGCACCATGACCATAGGCGGCCAAGTTTCAACCCAAGGAACCAGTGTGCACCAGCGACAAGCATGTGTCTGGGAAGTGCATTGGCGCACACGGAGAACAAAGCATTGAGTTCTCCCTAGCTTGTGGCTGGCAACATGTCCGAGGGCACGTATGGGCATGCAGACCATGCGCCCCTAGCCAGATCTGAATCAAACGGCCTATGCACTAGCCTGGCCTGGCAGCCCCGCAATGACAGCGAAAAATATTAGTGCTGCCACCGACGCAGAGGTCCGGCTGTGGCTGTAGCATGCATGTGGCGGATGCGCACTGGGCCAAAGTGAGGTGCTAATTTTTCTGTATATACTGGTGTACATGTGGAAATATATGAATTTAGTAGTATACGAGCATGTGTATATATTTTTTAAGATAGTTATTGATATTGAGTTAACCCTTCCTTAGTTAAAGAATTATGCATATGGATATGTATATAAATAAACATGAAATAGTTCCTTTTCCATAAGCACGTGAATTACAAAAAACGTCGATGGATTTGCTCACTCCTCTGCTGCTACAAGCGCTTCTTCCCCTTGCTTTGAAAAAGCCAACCAGCACAGGAAAAGGAGAAATGGAACAAAGGCTTAAACCTGCGGAAGCGAGACAGCCAGCTGAGAAGCCAGAATAATTAACGAACAACAAACCAAGCATAAACAAAAGGCAGGGAAAGCCAGACAAGCCGAGAAAAACAGGAAGGAAACAAGCAACAAAAGCAGGGCAGCGGAGGAGCGTGCAACACCCGAGCGTGTGAAAGCAATGAAAGTAACGATTCTCCAAAGGGCTACATCAAGAAGTGTCCTGGTGTCCTCCTGGTGTCCTGGTGTCCTCCTGTGTCCTCCACGTAGCTCATCTTCCAGTGTCCGATCCTGTTGTTGTTTGCTGGCCAGGCAAATGAACCCTTGTCCGCACTCTTGTACTCTTTTTGTCGTCCTTTTGTCCTCTTCTTGGTTGTCCTCCTGCTGTCCTCTCGCCATCTGAGCAGTGTTTTTTTGGTGACTAATTACGGGGCCTATACACTGGAGGCATACCTTCGCAGCTGCCTTCCCAAGCCTTCCCGAACCTTTTGGGAACAAAACAGGATTGCTTGAGGTGGGGCATACGCAGTTTAGCTTCGCATGCCTTCGTGCGTGCACAAAATTGTGAGAATTGCCTTCGCCGGCTGCGATGCAGTTCCACTTTCACACAAACCTTTATATACATGCCAATTACTGTACACCCCAAAAAGAAGAAACAACGTTGCTCATCTGTCCTGCTGTTGTCTGGATGGTGTGTTCCTGGTGCCCTCTTGGTGTCCTACTCATAGCTTGTTCCCCACATTGACGTGTGGGGTTTTTGTTATTAGTGTTGTATCCCGCCCTCCTCCTTCTCCCGCCCTCCGCCTCCCACCAAGCAATTGCCACGAACAACTGCCACCCACAATTGTCATGAACCAATTTTCAACAACCAATTGTCAACAACCAGTTGTCAACAACCAATTGTCATCAACCGATCGTCACCAACCAATTGTCACCAACCAATTGTCAACAACCAATTGCCACCAACCAATTGTCACCTACCAATTGTCATCCACCAATTGTCACCAACCAATTGTCATCAACCAATTGTCAACCAACTGTCACCAACCAGTTACCAGTTGTCGTCGACAAATTGTCACCCACCAATTGCCACCAACCAATTGCTACCCACCAATTGTTACCAACCAATTGTCACCAACTAAGTGTCACCAACCAATTGTCACTAACCAATTGTCCACCAGCTAATTGTCTTCTCCAGCAATTCGGGTGTACGCCCTGGTGCTGGCTGGTGCTGGACGGTGCTTGTGGGTCTCCGCCGCTGCGCCGCTGTGATTTGCGTGCGAATCGTCTTCTCCACAGGTCGGAGTCCCTTCCTCTCCCTCCTCCCGACCGCTTCTCCTACACCCACCTATTTACATACGCACGCGGACACGACAACCCGTAAGACAACCACCAAACGACAATCGCCACCCCCATCCACTTCCAAACGACAACCACCAACCAACACCACTCCCCTCCTCCCGACCGCTTCTCCTGCGTTAAGTTGTTAACATGTGGGGTCATCCGGTCCTATAATTTTCCTGGTGTCCTGCTGTTGCCCCCTGGCCGCAAGCGAATCCTGTGTCCGCCTGCTGTTCTCTTCTTGTTTTCCAAGCAGTTTACTAGTTTACTGTGGGGTTCTGTTTTGGAAGTAACTGTAAACGGGCCGCGCTGGTGCTGTGCCCGAAACCCTCCGCACCTTCTCCTGTTGTCCTCCTGTCTTGCTGTCGGCAGGGTCGGGCTGCGGGTTGGGTTGGGGAGCTGGCCAACAACAACAATTCTTGCTGACTAAACTGCTTGGGGTCTATGCTGATGTTTTTCTCTATGAGTAAGCCAGAGACACAAATCCAACCACTTTCATGCAAGAAGCGCCTGCCCCGGTCCAGATCAGTCAATCGTCGAGGACGACTTGCCTCCAGACAGCCATCCTGAGATATGTCCAGGCAGTTATCTCAGAAAAGCACAGAAAAGCATGGAGACAGCACACCTCCCGTATGATGTTGACTGCAGATTCATAGCCCCATTGAATTATAGAGATGTTTTGCAAATCTCTAGGGTCTTAGATGGTGGGTTTGTTCGTCTGCTTGCCTTTTGCTCGTTATCTTGTTTGATTTGCTTGCCTGGCTGCCTGTCTGTCTTTTTGTCTCGCTTGTCTAAGTCTCGTGTAGGCCTGTCTATTCATCAGTCAACATTATATACTATGCCCTTTGTTCCTAGTAGAGATGCCAGGAGCTACTAGTAGCTTCTTGCTCCTAGTAGCCATGCCCTTTGTTCCTAGTAGCGGTGCCCTTGTTACTGTAGTTACAGGCAAACGACCGAGATACACCAACAAGTCGCACCTGTTTATGTTGAGCCAAACGGTAGGTAAGTGAGACATGTATTGGACATACTAGCGTGAAACAACACCCCCCGCTGAACGAAAATGGGAGGAGTGAAGTTATGTACAGTGCACTAATTAAGGACCTACGAAGGTATCCGGTCCCCCGGTACGTGCGAAGCATCGAACCGGATCGTGCCTTGAGATGGAGAGGATGGTTGACCTCAAGGACGAATCAAATAAAGCACTGTCATGTTTTGATGCTAGTGTTGAACATGTCTGCAACAAGTCCATGCATGAAAGCTCAATGCATGATGTCAAATATGACTCTTTTGGCGCAGCGGAACAGGAAGTGCAACGCCAACCTTTTAGAAAGCAGGAACAAAGCCGTCATGGCACAAGCTTGCAAGAAGCTTTGCGTCGAGGGTTGCAAACCCCTCTGAATCGTCCAGGGCATCGATGGTTTGGGAATCCTTGTATACTTTCCCAACCCATGTCCTGGCTTCATCTGGCTTTGCTGAAGCTGCAGCGATGTTGTCCCTCACCTTGATCTTCCAATCTCTGTACTTCTCAGGTGTGGGGAACTTGGGGATGAGAACCTTATCAGCCTCTTTGGCCTTGTTCTCACGATCCCTGTCTTTTGACTTTCTCTGCGGCTTCTTCAGTTCCTTGCGGATGATGCGTGCAAGACGCGACGATTCAGAGCTCGAGTCGTTGGAGCTATCACTTCCGCTCGATGAGCTAGGTGATGAAGGTGATGGAGAAGGAGAGCGCTTCTTCCTGCGTTCTCTAGCGGCCCCTCTTTGGACTCTTCTCTTTCTTCTTCTCTTTTCCTTTCTTCTTCTTGTCTTTCTTGGACTTATCATCACCTTCTTCATCAGCATCGGATGGATGAGGTTCGTCACCGCCTTCGTTCCCGGGCTTCTCCAACTGAGTGCGAAGGCTCGCCGGAGGCAAAGCTGGGGATCCTTGGGACGCAGGTGGCTGCACTGACGGTACAGGCACTCGGTTCCCCGAGGCGTTATCGAATCTCTCTCGCAAATCCTTGATGATTCGACTCTGTTCGGCTAACTCCGACCGAAGTGCATCCTCTCTTTGCTTGGCAGAGGCGCGTTCGTTCTCGATGACGGCGTGTCTCTCGAGCGAAATCCGATCTAGGTAAGCCCTTTGTTCATGGAGTTGTTGGTTCTGATGGGCTTGGTTCATGTCACTTAAACGTTGATTGGCAAAAGCCTCAAGATGTTCCCTAGACTCCTGGATAGCCACTCTAGCTTGGTTCTCCACCATGTCTCTATATTGCCTAGCATCATCTGCAGCTTGTTGCCCGTGCTCGGCCAAAATGGCCCGATGTCGCAACTCCGCAATCTGAGCTACCTGAGCTGACCTATCTTCATTGACGAAGACAGCTTGTTGATGAATCTGTCTCGCATCAACGTTCTGGACATTCATCACAGGAGAAAACTCAGGTTGGAAAGGCGACGGAGCTTGAACACTAGGCATCAGGTCCCCCTGTGCACTGAACGTCGGTGGCACATTTGGCACACGCAAATCCAGCGGAACAACAGGGAGCTCCAGAGCAGGTGAACTAGACATAGCAGGCGAGGTAGGAACGTAGCCTGAACGTGAGCGGTCACCACGGGAACCTTCATCATCAGCCATGGCCTCTAGACAGTGCACTATCTAGGGTGGGGTGAGACCAAAGCTAGTAGCAAGCACGTACCGCACTTATGGCGATACGGCTGATAACCTGTAACAGGCAAACGACCGAGATACACCAACAAGTCGCACCTGTTTATCTTGAGCCAAACGGTAGGTAAGTGAGACATGTATTGGACATACTAGCGTGAAACAACAGTTACTAGTCATAAGAAGAGAATTCATCTCTGAGACCTCATCCATTCGCCAAGAATCTCTGGTCTTCAGCATTGCCTCTGGGACCTCCACAGGTTCGGCCCCCCAGCGGGTTTCAGCTATGGCGCGCCTCGCAGAAAACGTGCACAAGCTGCACAAATGCACAGCTTGTCGTGTTCACTTCTACCTTCGACCCAAACACCGAAGGTAGAAAGCTGAGCAAACCGGTCTCCACTTCCGATTCCAAGTGGCCGAAACCTGCCATATCTGTACAGCCTGGGCTGCTTCTCCAAAGGTCTGACATGCTCACAGATATTCATGACAACAAGGACACATGATCCCAGTGCCGTGAATGAACAGGGATAAAGGCTACGCAAAAAGACTACACTCCAGCAAGCTCATGAATGGCATGCGAAAGGAGGATGCGAAGTTGAGCCCCCAGGAATGCAAGGGACAGTTTCCTTTGAACATATTCGGAGCAGCTTCTCCATTGGTTACTCTGGCGTCAAGGTAGATGCCTTTCTCAACACGGAGGCAACCCCCTGAATGATAACAATAGTCAGGTCTAATGAACCAAGGATGCGCCTCAAAGTTTGTCCAGAAAAAGACACTTCCGCGCATGAATTAGATTATTGAAGTTACAGACTGAATGTTTGAGATGTCATTTCGTGTGGACTCAACTGGCGTTGCCTTCTGGCCGGGCTGTGCTCTTTGACTCTTGTTTCTTTGTGTTTTATTGTTGATCTCAGCATAGTCCTTCCTAGTTGGCAGCCAGACGCTGGACACCCTTTCTGAAATGATGTGTTGCTTCTATTCTCGTGTTGGCTTGGTTTGCCGGTGATTTTGCTAGCGCTCTAACCGGTTGCCTTCAGTCAAGCATCAAGTTCAATCGTGCACAAAGGAACTCAATACAAATCATTGCAGCTTATACGAATCCACCATCCCGCAAAGAACCAATACCGCACAAAACAAAAACCAAGAATTATGATGATTGTCTTGATGCTGTCCGGACCTAGCCTTTCAAATGAAATGTGTTCAATGCAATGGATGTTTGGTGATGGTTTAGTTTTACTTGTCTGTTTCGCCGGCTGGCCCGAGCTCTCCTTTTGACAAACTATGAGTCATATCATATAACTATGAGTATGACTGACAAAAAGACAAACAAAAATGCCAATATAGGCCAATCATGGCCAATTATGAACACAAGATGGTTTGACACCACCAAAAAAACATAAAACACATCTAAATGAACGAGTTCAGCTCCTGACGTAGCAAAGGTGATGATTAGCAGTTTGCCAACTTATTGTGGCCTACGGGCATGGGACGTTGCAGAGGTCACCCATCCTACGCTTCTTCCCAAGTGTTCAAGCTCTTCGGGCAGGCAACGGCAGCCGCTCATGCTCGATTTTGGGCGGGCGGGAGGCCCAGGTGTTGTCCACCAAGCGCTGGCGGAAGATGAAGTTGTCCTGGGAAGGCAGGCGGTACGGAGTTGAAGCGTAAGGAGGCATTTGGAGAGGTGAAGCGCTACAAACCATGACACCCTCCTGTTCAAAGACCCTGTGAGGGAAAACCATTCCTGATGCCAAAAGCTGGCGACTATTTCCTGGCCAAGATTCGTGCAGGCTCCCACAGCCTTGGGCGACAGTTTGCTTTCATGGGTCTGATCGTTGTTTCTACTAGGTGAGGCTCTTTCTCATGATCAAGTCCACTGTTAATGGAATCCAGCTGCACGTCTTGCAAACTAGTTCTGCTCCAAGCTACCAATTGGTGCCGAGATGGCTGCTCCTAAAGGACCTCTAGAAGCCTGCAGCCACCTTGAGGCATTCAGCAATGTACCTGAGCTCAGCTACGCACTGGGAATTCTGATAGGAATATGCAAGTTCCCATCAAAAAAAATTATCCCGGCAAGAAACCCCAAACAGTGTGTGAGGTCTGTAAGCAGAAAGTCTAGAGATCTAGACGCATTGGGGTCCAGAGAGGTGATAGTGGTGATGAAGTGAAGGTGAGTGTGAGTGAGTGTGGGTGAGAGGGAGCGTGCGTGTGAGTGAGAGTGGGTGAGAGTGAGTGTAAGTGAGCGTGAGTGAGAGTGAAGGTGGGTGTTAGTGAGTGTGGGTGAGAGTGAGAGAGTGTGTGTGTGTGTGTGAGAGTGGGAGAGTGAGTGTGAGTGAGTGCGAGCGTGAGTGAGAGTGAGAGTGAGAGTGAGTGTGAGTGAGCGTGAGTGAGAGTGAAGGTGGGTGTTGGTGAGTGTGGGAGAGAGTGAGTGCGAGTGAGAGTGGGAGAGTGAATGAGAGTGAGTGGGGAGAGTGAAGGCGGGCGCGAGTGAGTGTGGGTGAGAGTGAGTGAGTGCGAGTGTGAGTGAGAGTGAGAGTGAGAGTGAGAGTGAGAGTGAATGTGAGAGTGAGTGTGGGTGGGTGAGTGTGCGTGTGACAGTGAGCATCTGAGAGCACAAAGTACTGCGCCTGCCACGAAATCTGCACATCGACGCTCACCAAGTAAGTGCTGCACCGGCCACGAAATCTGCACTTCGAGGTTCACCAAGTGCTGTGCCTGCCACGAAATCTGCACTTCGAGGTTCACCAAGTGCTGCGCCTGTCACGAAATCTGCACTTCAAGGTTCACCAAGTGCTGTGCCTGCCACGAAATCTGCACTTCGAGGTTCACCAAGTGCTGCGCCTG